CATTAAACAAGAAATTAATATTAAGTGACTTGCATTGTCTGACTACAACACTATTGCCTGATTTTGCTCTATTTCATCAACGAAAATAGTTTCAAACAAAGTCACAGCTGAGCCGCTGCGCATTTCCAAGCAAACACAGCAGTGTTTCGTTTATGAATGAACGTGTGCGTTTTTAAACGAATCTGAATCAATTACCCATTCATGAAGCCAGTCACTTACTTAATTCCTGAATGAATTAGTCATTCGAACGAATCAATTGAATGAATGATTCAGTGATAAACTCAATGATTTGCCACCACCTACTGGCAGTTTTACTTTCATTTTTAAAGAATATTTTCTGATAGTTAATTAGTTTAATATTTCTATATTCAAAATGTTATATTTAAAATATTAACCTCAACATGAATTTATGAATTTAATTCCACTTATGCCACCTCTGAGCCTCATTAAATGTCTGAAAATACACCTACAAACCACTTTTGTGTTCTTCTGTGCCACCTCTGTGGTACAAATAATTTTTTTTTTAATACTGATTTTATTTGATTGGTAACTTATTCTTATTCTACTTGATTTTATTCTGTTATTTTAATTAGAAATTTTAAAAAGCTTATAATTTTTAGAATTTGACAAAAGATGACATACTTTTAATAAAGTTAGAAAAATGCCATTCGCAAAGGTGTAAAAACTAAGTTCCCTGTAAATCACTTTAAGGAGTCAAATATATGTAATATCTCGTAATGGGAAGGCTAATATTTGATATTATTCATTAGAAGGTGCTCCTGAAATATTTGACGGTGCTCCAAAAAAAATTTTTAATTTTAAAAGAAAAGTACGCGTAGAGCCCTGTTTAACCACTTTTTATTCATTTAATATTTTGCCACACATTATTTTGTTTAGTTCAGAATCATGATCTCTATTTGAGACAAAAAAAAATCGTGATTCCCAAATTATCCAGAATCGTGTAACTCTAGTCTGGTCGTTTTGTCACGTCCAATCTAGACATTGTAAATCATTTGAATTTTGTGTCAGTAGCATGTCATAAATAGAACGAGGTGGCAATTTACTGTCGGGGATTTGTCGCGCCGCATCCAGTGTAGACAGCATCACTGATTGTAATAGGTTCTATAGTATTTTGTTGCGTCGTGCCATGCTGATCACGTCCAGTGTAGACACTGTGTTAGTGTGAGCTTTCTGTTCTAAGGTCTGTTAGTTTTATGAACCCAGATCACTAAGAAATGGAGCTTGATTTCTGATCTCTTTGTTTTCCAGGATTTCCTCCCAAGCAAGGAGCAAAGCTCAGCGAAACCCAGAGGAGAACATGAGTGAGGATGAGGATGTTCAGGTGGAGAAAGCTCGAGTGAAGGAGGCATTGACTTGTCAGTGCTGTGAGGAGGTATAGCCCCACTTTTCTGTAAATCGTAGAGTCTTAAGAGTTTCAAATCACGTCTTGTCCAATAACCTTTTTAATATGGAAAAATAAAACTTTAACAGAAACCAGTGGTAGTGGTGAGTAATCTCAAGAAACAGTACAAAGGCAAGAGGGAGGGCTTTTCACTCAGCAAGAGAAGAAAAGTGGCCACTAAGAACATCTCCTTTTGTGTTCGCAAAGGTAGTGTCTGCCTCTTTTTGGATGTACTGTAAGTAATGATTTTAAAGAGAGCAAGCAAATGTTAATGACAAATGGCCTGTTCTCAGGTGAGGTTTTGGGTCTGCTGGGACCAAATGGAGCAGGAAAGAGTACTATCATGCACATGCTGTCTGGAGACACTGAACCCACTGCTGGACAGGTTTGGGCTCAATCTCTCAGTTTCTTGCTGGTTATGAGTTATTTTGAACATATGAGACATGTTCATTGTTTTCTGACTAAAGTTTGATATTTATTTTTAGATTCTAATGGGAGATTATGGCACAGACTTCCAACCAGTGGAAAACCCCTTGGAGCATGTAGGGTACTGTCCTCAGGTGAACCCTCTGTGGCCTAGAATCACTCTACAGGAGCACCTGGAGATCTATGCTGCTATCAAGGGGCTACATCAGTGTGATATCCCAAACATCATTAAGCGGTACCAAATCTCTTTAAAAAAATTTTTTTACATTTACACTACCATTCAAAGGCTTGTAGTCAGTAAGATAGATTTATTTTTATTTTTATTATTATTATTATTATAGTCTTAAACGATGTTGAGCTCTTGGTATTTAATATATTTTATTACATTTAATATTAAATTATCAGCAAGCATTACTCTTTGATAAATAAAGACTTTTAAATGTTATTACTGTCATGTTTAATCAGTTTGCTAGTATCTTTAAAAAAAATTTAATTTAAATAAATTGTTTACTGACCACATACTTTTGAACGGTAGTGTTCTCCAGAAAATCCACAAATGAGGGTTTTAAACATTGCATATATTATTTTATTTATAAACCACCACAGCTGCTTTTTTGGATTTGTAGTAATAGTAGTACTTGAGTTTATAATTTTTTCTTTTTTAGAATGAATCAAAATAAATGCAGTGGCTAGTGTAATGTTGCAAGTGACACGGTAACTTAAAATAATTATTTTGTCATGTGATCAGATTTTCTACATTACAGTATGACCACCACAGCAATGTTCAAGGTTTAAATAGTGTGTGTGTGTGTCTGTTTTTAACAGTGTTGTGAGTGCTCTAGAGCTGAAGGATCATCTTTACAAACAGGCAAAAAACTTGTCTGCAGGGCTAAAGAGGAAGGCGAGTCATTCAATTCAATGTCATTATAAAAAATTTATTTTGTTGCGTATTTTAGGCTTATTTTTTTTATCTTGTTCATACTAGCTGTGCTTTGCACTAAGCATGCTGGGAAATCCTCAGATAGTTCTGTTGGATGAACCATCTACAGGAATGGATCCCAAATCAAAACAGCGCATGTGGTAAAATTTTCTACTTTGTGTTCAGTTTTTTAGCTTTTGTATTCTGAATGCTATGATATACATCACAACATGTACATTTAAAACAGAGGTCTGCAAAAATTTACATTTATGTGGTTCATTTCAATAGGAGGGCGATCCGTGCTGCCTTTAAGAACAAACAGCGAGGAGCCCTTTTGACTACCCACTACATGGAAGAGGCGGAGGCTGTGTGTGACCGTGTGGCCATCATGGTTTCTGGTCAACTAAGGTGGGACTATAAGACGGATAAAAGCCTCCGTGAAAAATTACATGGATTAACATGCACTTAAAGAGAATTTTGGGCAAGCAACTAAAGCAGAATAGAAAGCTCGTAACATTTTGTTATGTTGCCCTCTGCAGGTGTATTGGCTCAATACAGCACCTGAAGGGGAAGTTTGGGAGAGGCTACAGCCTAGAGATTAATCTCAGGGAGGAGCTTACAGGTCTCCAGCAGGTAGCACTGTTGCACAAAGAGATACTGAAGATATTTCCTCACGCTGCTCGTCAGGACAGGTAAGATGTGTCTGAATAAGATTAGAAATTAAATGGGAGGAAAAAAATAGATGTCAAATTGACATAAAAGTAGAATGTAAAACCTCGGAGTGAGAGGTGTGTGTGTGTACCTGTTTTTCTATTCTGGTGGAGACTTAAACCTGAATACACACAGACTCATGGGGACTCGTGTCACGGTGGGGACCTAAATTGAGGTCCCCACGGGTAAACAAGCTAATAAATCACACAGAATGAAGTTTTTTGAAAATCTAAAAATGCAGAAAGTTTCCTGTAAAAGCTAGGTTTAGGTGTAGTGCAATAGAAAATATGGTCTGTACAGTAGAAAAACCATTACACCTATGGAGAGTCCCCACAAGGATAGCAAACCAGATGTGTGTGTGTGTGTATGTGTGTGTGTACTGGTATATATGGTTTATGAGGCCACAAATGTGTATAATGACATGGGTACTACAACGTAAACATGGTTTATGAGGACACTTCCTGTGTCCCCGTAAAACAAAAGGCTTAAAAAACATGTTTTATGAAATTCAAAAATTGCCAGTAGTTTTCTGTAAGGGGTAGGTTTAGGTGTAGGGCGATAGAAAATACAGTTTGTACAGTATAAAAACCATTGCACCTATGGACCCTGTAAACCACAATTGCAATTATGTGTGTGTGTGTTGGATCTTTGCAGTTTTGCCACTCTGATGGTGTATAAAATCCCAATGGAAGATGTGAAGTCACTAGCCAAGTCTTTTGCCCAGTTAGAAAATGGTAAGAAATGGATATCATAACAACTACACAGTTTTTATGAAGAATTAAAAATTCTATTTTGACCATTCTCCTTTTTCTTCACAGCAAAACAGAACTTTAACTTTGAAGAGTACAACTTCTCCCAGTCAACTCTTGAACAAGTATGTCACAATGTTCTGAAGGAAAAAAAAAATATATATATATACACACACAGGGTTTATTTAAATATATATGTATATCATGTTTAGTATTTGAAAAACTGATGTTAATTAGGATTTTTGCGGAACTTGTCTGTAAGTGTATACCCGTTTTGCAGGTTTTCATGGAGTTCGCTAAAGAGCAAGAGAATGAAGAAGAGGAGGTCGGATCACTTAGCACGACTTTTCAATGGCAGAGACTGAGACAAGATGGCCCTGTATCCATCAATCACGCTGACAGCATAGTACACCAGCTATGAGCCAATCCTGTCCAGCTTTCCCTGAAGCGTTGTACCCTTCTTTTTCCTCTGTTTCTCTGTATCGCTCTGCATGTGCCGTCCTTTGCCTTAAGAGTCTTAAACTGATGGGACTCATGGGACAATAAACTGTGGATACTCCAGTGGCCACCAGCACACATACAGGACACGTGTGTGTGTGTGTGTGTGCTGTGAAACTCGCTTTGGCTCTGGTACTGGCACTTGCTTAGATGGAATCTGACATGTGACTTGAGTGTCAGCTGTTAATGCCGAGCAAGACTTGGCAGTTCTTTTAGTTGTTGTCATTTGTTTTTAATGAAGAGATTTTATTTTTTTTTAATTCTCACTCTTTCTTCTTAATTCTTATATCTTCCGTTCACCTGATGTATATCAAACCCACCATTCTGTTGTTTCCATATACACTATGTCAGTCACTTGGAAATTAATTGCATGGAGCAGGTTCCACATTATTACCAAAGTCTCACTCACATCGACACCAAAACAGAGCTTTTTGGTGTCTGTAGCATGGGATATAAACTTGCGTCTCTGTGTATGGCTATCTAACGTTATTATCTATGTGTGCTGTTGTAAAGTACGTTTTCATGCGGGAGAATCTCATTACAGCTGTGTGCAAACTTTCAGGCAGCACTAACATTGAGATTTACCAGCATGTATGGGGCTGCTCTCGTTTCTTGTAACCCTTTTTAGGGCAGAGCGGCCCTGCCGGTGCATGAAGCCTCTTCTGTCTCTGCTGCACACGGGAGATCCACAAGACTCCTTTCTCAAACACCAGCACGTGTTTCAGGCTTTCACACAGAGCTCTCCAAAGAAAAACAGGGCTAAGCACTCACAGTGAGTAAGCTAGTAGATTAATCAAGATGAAGTAGAACTTCTCTCTGTCATACCTTTTTCCACCTCGTCATCAGGTGGCCTTCCTTTAGGAGCAGTTTTAATGTTTAAAATCAGTAGCTTAAGAATGTAGTTCTCTCATTCCGCACCGAACCATGTAGCACTCCAGATTAGTCGCATACTGCTGAGTGAGGTCTTTTATTTATTTTTTGTTAACAGAAGTAATGATACTGTAGGAACCGTGAGCCTTGAATGTACAGTGGGTGACATTTTCTAGAAAAGCATTTGATGTGGGTTTAACGTATTTAGTGTAAGTCTTCAATTTTGGGAGATTTTGGGCACCAGAATTATTTTAAGTTGGTTGGTTCTCATTCAAGAGGGTCCGTCTTTTTGTACCTTTTAGAATATTTTTGTTTAAATGTAAAAATTATTAAATGATCACCTCTCTTTTTGTTTGCTAATAATATGTACAATCTTAAAATTGGCACATTGGAGAATGCCTTTCAAGAGTCAACTCGAGTCAATTTCCAAAAAAATTCTAAACTACAGGCACAGTATTACGTTTTTTTTTTTTTTTTTTTTTAAAGCCTTAATTGGGTAATACTTTAAAATAAGGTTCTGTACATTAGTTAATGCAATAGCTAATGACAATTAAAGAGTTTTACAGCCTTTTATTAATCTCACTTTATTAATCCCCATGTTTAGTTTTCTTAACATTTTTCATTCATATTTTTAAAAGCATTTTGGTTTAATTGATTTATTTGTTATGAACAAAACTTGCTTTAATGTTACCTAATTAAACATTATTGTAAAGTATTACCAATTAAAGTTATTCTTTAATCGCGTGAGTGAGCTGCCCTTCTCATTTTTCTTCATATGTGACCCTGGACCACAAAAGCAGTCATAAGTTGCACTGGTATATTTGTAGCAATAGCCAAAAATACATTGTATGGGTCAAAATGATAGATTTTTCTTTTTTGCCAAAAACCATAAGGATATTTTTTTAAAGCCTTAATTGGGTAATACTTTAAAATAAGGTTCTGTACATTAGTTAATGCAATAGCTAATGACAATTAAAGAGTTTTTGGTTACACTTTACTTGAAGGGGTGTGCATAAGACTGACATGACACCTTCATAATCATGACATGACACCTACATAATTATGACATGACACATGTCATGAATATGAAGGTTTTTTATGCATGTTTATGACAACTGTCATTTATTAATCTCACTTTATTAATCCCCATGTTTAGTTTTCTTAACATTTTTCATTCATATTTTTAAAAGCATTTTGGTTTAATTGATTTATTTGTTATGAACAAAACTTGCTTTAATGTTAACTAATTAAACATTATTGTAAAGTATTACCAATTAAAGTTATTCTTTAATAGCGTGAGTGAGCTGCCCTTCTCATTTTTCTTCATATGTGACCCTGGACCACAAAAGCAGTCATAAGTTGCACTGGTATATTTGTAGCAATAGCCAAAAATACATTGTATGGGTCAAAATGATAGATTTTTCTTTTTTGCCAAAAACCATAAGGATATTAAGTAAAGATCATGTTCCATGAAGATATTTTGTAAATTTCCTGCCGTAAATATATCAAAACATAATTTTTAATTGGTAATATGCATTGCTAAGAACTTCATTTGAACAACTTCAAAGGCGATTTTCTCGATATTTAGAATGTTTTTTTTTTTTTGCAGCCTCAGATTTTAAATTAGTTGTATCTCGGCCAAATATTGTCCTACCCTAACAAAGCTTATGTATTCAGCTTTCAGATGATGTATAAATCTGAATTTAGAAAATTTGACACTTATGACTGGTTTTGTCGTCCAGGGTCACATATAGGTTGAAGTATTGAAGCTAATACACTAATGTATTCTACTCTCAACAGGAAGTGTTTTCATTTCAGAACTCTACAAACATGTGTTTTCACTTGGTGCATTTTTCTTATGACTTTCTGATTTTCTTTGTCCAGTAGATGTTTCTTTATTCTGCTCTGAGCGATGACTATGCTGAACCGTTTGTTGGTACGAGGAACTCTGCCCCAAGCGCTGGTTCTCTTGTTGGTAGAACTTCTAAAAGATGTTTTCTAGGTGTCTCATGGTTACTCTTGAGCAAATCTGTTGTAGATGGTTTTTATTTTTCTGATTTAACATTTAACCCTAGCTGAATGTGAAAGGTTGTGTGGAACAGTCCTCAAAAATTGTAATCCATGCCAAGTTGGCATGTTATGTGGACTATATATTTTTTTTTTATTTTTTTTTTTTTGGCTTCATCTTACAGTTTGATTTACAGTTAATCAAACTCTTGTTTGCATTGTCTTATTTTTAGGGGCACACAATTCAACCTCTGTAGCATCTAAAGTACGGAAAAGATTTCCTTCAGGAACAAAAAGATGTCCTTATAATAGAGAAATTATGGTTGACATGCACAGCAGACACAGTGGATTTTTAAGGGGATATAATTGTAATTTTTGCACATTTAACCTGTAATGTATAACATTTTCTGTAACATTTAACACTGACCAGTTTAGTCTTTGCTGGACTGGGTTGGAATGGGATGATTATATTGAACACTATCTAACGTCTATTTAACCAATACCTTTATTTCCTCCAAAGTGCAATATATGAATACTTGTGTGTGTGTGTGAGTATTTATTGCATTATGTAGACGGTGTCATTGCAAACTGCAATATTAATGTTGTCTGTTGTGAACTCAGATGTGTCTTGCAGTACAATGTAGCCACAAATATATAATCTAGAACGCTTTGCACTCTCTTCCCCTAGTGCCCATTTACTGCCCTCTGTATGCAAAAATTCTGTTTGAAAATAAAATGTATTCAGGATGTTGTTAATTTTTGGACTAGTGGGTCTGAATAAGTTGCATGTTTTTGATTGATTGATTGATTTGATTGCTGCAAAATGGGTTTAAAAACGAATTAAAATAAATCGGTCTGTTCTGCTCAAGGAGTTTAATGTCTGGTTTGAGGTTTTACCAGGCAGTGATGACTACAGAAATTTAGTAATGTGCTCCGATATACGAAGATTCAAAATATCTGACTGTTAGGTTCTACTAATTTTAAGAAATATAAACTAAATTTGTATTTGAGATTAGCTGTTCTTAATACAAAGTTGTCTTTAAAGTGGCATGAAACCCACTTGTTCAGCACAGAATATTGTTTAGCTGTAATTTAATACCTGTATAAATTAATTTGTACTCCATTAAATTACAGATATGAGTTGAGTCATTTGTATTCTGTAACAGTAGACTTAGTTTTATTTTAAGCAAAATGTACTACTTTTTATTTTATTATTTATTTACTTCAAATACTGTGTGAAATTGTTTCCAAAGTTAGACTGAAGAATCACCAGCTTATGGGCAGCATTAGAAGTGAATGACAAGCATATCATAGATTCATTCCCACTCTACGGAGGAAAAAAAGAAGAAAAAACAACTGGGCAGGTAAGGGAATTATTTTGTTTCCAGTTATTCTGCTCTATTAATCAATACTAAGTTTTTGAGATAAGACAATGATAAGATTATTCTTGCCACAAAACTTATTTTAGACAAACCGTTTCATAAACATACACGGCTGGATTCTCTTCATTGTTTTTGAAAGAAGTCTCCACCAAAGTTGCATTTATTTTATCAAAAATATTGTAAAAGCTAAAATAAAAATATTTGTACAATTTAAAATAACTTTACTATTTTAATGTTTTTTAAATGTAATTTGCAAAGCTGAATTTCCAGTATCATTACTCCAGTCTTGATTGTGACATGATCCTTCAGAAATCATTCTAATATTTGTGATCAAGATCACCGATTTGGTGATCAAGTAACATTTATTATTATCAATCAATGGTGAAAATGGTTGTGCTGCTGCCTAAATGTTTTTCTCTAGCTTTTAAAATCTTTAAAATGCTTACTATTTATTATTGTATGCAGTGTATTAATATGTGTTTTATATATGCTCCAACTTTTGTCATTAGTCCTGTTGTTCTCCTCTTCGGTGAAGGAGACTCCTGTCATGAGCTCAACTGGACTGAGAATGAACGGTGAGAAGAGAAACATGGTGTTTACGGCTGTTCCTGCAAGGAAAATCATCACGGACGTCAGCATGACTCCTTTGGTTTGACTCATTCCACAACAATGTTTCATTGATTATGTTTTGTTTTTGACATGTTTCTTATTTTCTCTCAGATTTCATTGAAACCTGTGAAAGCAGCTCTGGCTCCATGTCTCTGTCTCGCTGTCAGCTCTTTGAGGCTGGGTTTCCTTCTGACATCTTACACCTCAATGACCCCAGCTGCAGAGGAACAGTCTGGAACGACAGAGTGGAGTCCTATTTTGACAACAATGAGCACATCTGTGGCACAAATCTTGTGGTAGGATTCATTATGTACATCCTTGATGGGTCAAAAGAACAACAAATCCTTTTTTAATTATTTTATAGTTCTTTAAAAAGTCCCTTAAATACAAATATTCAAATATGTCCCTACAGGCCAATGGCACCCACTTCATCTATGAGAACTTTATTGTGGGGGAGCCAAACTTAGTTGGGCATCACATCAGCAGGGAAATAATTCTGAAGCTTCCTTTCAGCTTGTTTACTTACAAACCCAAACACTCTCCACGGACATCAATCCTCTGGAGAGGTGAGACACATTAACTTTAGCCAGCTTACTAACTGAAACTATTAATTATACTTATTTGTAGTGGACACTTATCATGTAAAATTATTTCAACAGCACTGTGCAGTGTGCACATGAACCTTTCTGTTGATCAAGGGACATATCAGGTCAGGATGATTCCTTCCCAGATACACTTGCCACGCCAAGTGCTAGTATCCAGGGCTCCTTGCCTGTTGGGTTGTCTGACTATATCACTTATTTCTCTGAGTTTCCTGATATTCTTCTAGATTATTAACACTAAGAATCACCCTAATGTTTTACACATCTAGTCTTCTCTCTTTCTCAACGAATGTGCCACTGATCTCAAACTGTTACAAGCTTTCTATAAATGTGATTTTTGGATGATTAGAAAATCACAATATATCCTGTATAATATTTTATAAATCAAACAGTCTAATTACTATTGTGAGGATAAACGATATTAAAGGTGGGGTAAGCGATTTTTCAAAAATGCTTTAGAAAACTGATTCGGGCCGAATAGCAAAACAAACTCGTAGCCAATCAGCAGTAAGGGATGTTTCTACTCACGATGTGGAGGAGAGAGCGTTCAGTGCACGAGACGGACATTAGCCGAGCCGAGCGACAGAAAGATAGAGATGGCGGATAAAAAAACAAAAGAGGATAACATCTGCGGAACAAAAGAAGGCTTAAGGCAAGAAGTAGGACCAGTGTAAATATCGGATCAGCTTTCCAGGTAGACAGCATCACTGATTATAATGAGTTCCATAGTATTTTGCCGCACCACTCGCGTCCGGTGTAGACACGGTGTAACTTTGGTTTTGCTTTGTTTCACAGAACTAATCGTTGCCTGGGTTGTGTACGTATGTGTGGGGCGGAGCTATCAAAATAGGGGCGACACCCTTTTGGGGTAGGGGCGTGTTTGTTTTGGTGATTTCAAATGTCAACATTAGCTACCAGAAATCGCTTACACCACCTTTAAATAATCTAAATAAACTAATCTCATTAAACTGATTTGCTCTTTGTTTTTGGTGAGATATTTGTCATTGCTGTGTGTTTGAGAGTGTTTTTACTATTGTGTGTTACACTGTAGTTAGCTAAGGTATTATTTGAGTCAGGCTTGGGCTATATCCTTTCATAAACCAAGTAAATCAGCTATATACACTCACAGAGACATTTTATAGGTCAAAAGCTGTTTTGCAGCATTTGTTTCTGACGTATATTAGTGGGATAGAAACTTTTCTTAGTGTTCTTGTATATGTTGCAAAAAAAGAATGAACCGAGATGACTGGTTTCTCTTCATTCTTTACTGATTTAATTGTTTCACACACTCATTTGTTAATACTAAGAACCTCTGATTCTTTACACATCTGCCAGTTTGAATTTACTAGACAAAGGCTGGAAACAAAAGCAAGGGAACAAATATCAAAAAGGCACTTTCTATAGGGATTTCGCCTAGGGCGTCAAATTGGCTAGAAACGGCCCTGAATACATGCCTATTGTTAGGGTAATAGAAGAACACCAGTTAGATCGTGAAATAAAGTGTCTTACCAGCATTACATGCTTGAGAAAAACAAACAGCGTGATCATGCATCCTCTTGCATTAAGCACATACCACTTAAAGTGTCAATTCCCCATTTTATATACTTGTAAAGGTTATTTGGTCAGCTGAAGAATCTGTCAAAACACATACCATAACCTATTGTTGAGTGAGGAGAATTTATGGTGTGGTAAGACATGAAAGACACTTGTTTGAAGTATTGCTGAGAAATAGGTCCAGCCATGGTCTGCCTACCGTTTAAAAATAATAAGAATCTAAAACCTATAGTTCAACATCACCGTATTTAGTTTGAACTGTTGAAGAGACAATCACCCTAATATACTCTGCAGCAGCATTTCATCAGGTAAAGTTCATCTCATCTGGCTCCACTCATTATTTCAGTCATCTTTTGATATAGATTATTATACAACAATCATTTTGCATTATTGTGTACTTTTTTTCTTTTCTTTTAATCCTTGCATACTGATTAATTGTTCGGCAAATTCTGTTATTGTTGCCGTGAAGATGTAGATTTTATAAATATGTGCTAAACAGAACGATACAATCCTGTCTGTGTTTAGAAATCATCTTCAAAATAGCACAAAATTTGGCAGAATAACAAAATTATTCAAAGAGTTTACATATTGTCATATTTTATATTTGAAATTCGGTGTAGTTGTGCGATCAAAATAATCTGTGCCTCGATACTATTACTTTTATCGATACTATCAGTTCAGTACTACTAGTTTTTATCGCTACTGAGAAGAAGCATTTGCATGCTTGATAAGTTGAAATGTTCATATGTGCTGTATGCAATGGATCACACCGTTAAGTAAATATGATTATTTTATGATAGATAAGTAAGGTTTTGCAGTTATGCATGTGTTTTGATTGACAGGATTAGATGAAAGCTCCTCCCAAACTTTAATTTAGAACTTGGAATATCACGTTCAACCTTGATAATGTTATATTATTACGAATATTGTTTTTACAGATCGGGTTGATGTCTTTGTGAGCAGTTTGCAACAATGAGGTATCTAATCTCATTTTGTGTGACACTACTGCTGCTGAATAAGAATCTGTCACACAATTAAATAAGTGAACTGACAAGATGCTTGACTTAAAGTAAAGACAACTGACAAGAAGCTTTTGTATTTAACAGGTGAAAGAATCGAAGGACAAACATCAGGTAATCTACTAATTTTTCTACTTGGGGTCTGCATGCTTCATGATTTACAATCCTTTCGATTCTTATCCTTTCAATCCCATCTTCTCATTGAAAAAGTAAAATATATTCTTTCAAAAAAATTTGCCACTCAACTTAAGGTACTGTATCAGGGTTTTGGATTCACAAAATGCTCAAAGAAACCTGTAATCAGTGTTACTGTCTCTTTTTACATTTACTCGCGCTCTAAGCATTTATTTTAGTGGGGTGTGTTTCATCTGCAATACATTCAATGCACTCAACACTCAAAAATGTTCTTGTCAAATTCAAGATGCTCAGTAATCTTAGAAATATCGAATTGAAATTAAATCATCACTATGCTTCCCGGCCATTCATTTATTGGCAAATCAAACCGCAAATACAATTCCCAGTTGAGGAAAGAAATTATAATTTAATGGTTTGTTAAACGTGTGCCTCTCTATCAACTGTCTCCTTTTGTC